AAATATAACTATTTATCAACTCACTTTCCTTTTGTGTGTGTGTCAAGCGTGCGAGGCCAGGGCCAGTTGGGTGTCAGCCCCTATTGTTTTTTTTTGGTACCCTGGTTTTCAAACAGGATCTTGACCTCACTGACATGGCAGGCAGGTCATCTGGCTCCAGGATCCTCCTGTCTCCACACCTACAGCTGGGATCACAGGTGTGCCATTGTACTTTTTCTTTTAAAAAAATACATGCAAATCTAGGGATTTGAACTCAGGTCCTCAGACTTGCCTGGCAAGCACTTTACCCACTAAGAGATCTTCCCAGCAGGATCTGGCCCCTCTATAGCCCTGGCTGTCCTGGAACTCGCTCTGTAGACCAGGCTGCCCTCAAACTCAGAGAGCCTCCTGGTCTCTCAAGAGGCAAAGGCAGACAGATCTGTGAGTTCGAGGCCAGCTTGGGTTACAAAGTGAGTTCCAGGACAGGCTCCAAAGCTACAAAGAAACCTTTTCTCGAAAAACCAAAAGAGGACGATGTCTCTTCTGAGGACAGAACAGACCACTCTGCCTTCTCAATTGCTTTACTATGTGTGATGAGGGTCAGGTGCATCCTTAGGACTCTCACCCACCACTGTGCAGCTGGGAGAGTCAGGAGTCGAAGCCGTCAGTACTTGATCTGGTACACTGAGGCGCAGTACCCGGAACCCGTGACAATCAGCTTGCTATTGGCTGTCACGTCACAACATGTGACAGCGGTAGCCTCAGGGACCTGTGTGACAGCAGGCTGAATGAGCCCATGGGACCCAGCGGAGCCCAGCCCCTCTCCCCAGGGTCCCACCCTGCACGGGAGTACCTGGAAGACTTTCTTTCCTGAAGGCATGCTGTGGATGGTGACCAGGTCGTCCATCCCCACGCTCACCCACCACTGGCCTGGGAGGAGGTGGAGAGACAGCGAGGTTGGTTACACAAGACCCCACCTACTCACTCTTTCAACTCAGGAGGCTGAGGCAGGAGGATTCAAGAGTTTGAGATGGCCGGGCGGTGGTGGCGCACACCTTTAATCCCAGCACTCGGGAGGCAGAGGCAGGCGGATCTCTGTGAGTTCGAGACCAGCCTGGTCTACAAGAGCTAGTTCCAGGACAGGCTCCAAAACCACAGAGAAACCCTGTCTCGAAAAAACAAAAAAAAAAAAAAACAAAAAAAAAGTTTGAGATGATGAGCCTCAAAAGAACAAAAGAGCAGAAAAAATGTTTTCTTATTCCACCTTTTGTTGTGTTTGCTTTTGGTGTTTTTAACAAGAGTCTTTCATAGCCAGGGCTAGTCTCAGACTCCCCATGTAGCCAGAGATGACCCTGAACTGATTCCTGAGGGTGGTTTATGTCAATAGAAGGTGTTGGGGGAGAATGACTCTAATCCCAGCACTTGGAAGGCAGAGGCTGGCAGATCTCTGTGAGTTCCAGGCTAGCCTGGTCTACAGAGTGAGTTTCTGGGCAGCCAGGGCTACACAGAGACCCTGTCAGTGTGATGGGTGTCAAAGCGCTGATCGGCTGATCGGGCACTGAGCAAACAGTGGAGGCTTTTGGAAAGTCAGTGCTGCGGTGTGCGCTTGTCCTTGGACTCCTTACCGTTTGGGGAGAACTTGAGGCCTAAGATGGTCTTGTCCTTGGTGCCCACAGGGAGCACCTCGCTCCTCCTCTTGCTGTCATACAGGCAGTGCTGGCCATTGGCCAGGCCCAGCAGCAGCCAGTTTTCCTGTGGACTGTGTGACAGGCTCATGATCTGGGATGAACAGGTCAGAGTCACCGAGGTCAGACCCCAGCCCAGCAGGTGGCAAGGGCCCCTCTAACTTGCCACCCCGGGTGCTTCCTGTCACAGTCCCTGGGCCTTCCCTTTGCTAATCTGAGATGGGAAAGGGGCTAAAATAGGACAGCAAAGAATCTGTTTCTCTCCCTTTTTGGTTTTATTGAGACAAGGTCTCCCTCTGTAGCCTAGACTAGCCTCCCCCCCCCCCCATGTACCTGAGGATGACCTTGAACTTCTGATCTTCCAGGCTCCATCTCCCCAGTGCTGGGGTGTTGGGTATAATGTGGCACAATGCTGGAGATAGGACCCAACACCCTAAGAAAGCACTGTACCCACTGAGCCTGACCTACCCCCCCTTCCTGAGATAAGGTCTCCCTATGTAGCCCAGGATAGACTCATACTTTTCACCCTCTTGCCCTGAATACTGGGATAAAAGTTTGTCCCACCATGTCCATTAGGACAATTTTTTTTTTTTTTTGAGACAGGGTTTCTCTCTACGTAGCCCTGGCTGTCTTGGAACTGGCTCTGTAGACAAGGCTGGCCCCGAATGCAGAGATCCGCCTGCCTCTGCCTCCTGAGTGCTGAGTGCTGGGACTAAAGGCGGGTGTCACCACTGCCTGGCTGACCCCTATATGTCTTGCCAGAATCACGAGCTGATCTGGAATGTCCCAGCTCCCCATGCTGAGTCCACCTTGTCCTCTACCTCCAGGGCCCATGCCCGTCCAGCCCCAGTGGGGTCTGTGCACCTGGGATTGGAATGTGTACTCCAGCGACACCTTGACCATCCGCAGGTCCCAGCATCGTAGACAGGCATCCAGACCTCCTATCCAGACATTGTCATCTTTGACCACCAGGCTCTTGGCTGCATTGACAGGGCCTTCAAGGTCCCTAGCCAGAGAGACAGCAAAGGGAGTGAGCCTAGCTTTGGAGTCCATGTTCCTGAGATCCCACAGGTCATGAAGGCAGCCTTCTACCTTTGGCAAGAAGGGGACAGTGATGTCATCCCAAAGTCCCGCACCTAATGTTCCAAACCAACATATGTGTGCTGGCCCCCATCTATAATTCCAGCACTGAGGAGGCTGAGGCAGGAGGACTGTCATGAGTTCTAGACCAGCCTGGGTATATAGTGAGAACCCGCCTTAGAAAGAAGTGGGGAGACCAAAGCCGGCCACAGTGACACAAAACTGTCATCCCAGCTACTCAGGAGGCTAAGGTAGGAGGATTGCAAGTTAGAGCTATCCTGGGCTACAGAGTGAGCTCAGTATCAGCCTTGCAAGCTTCACATGGTCTAACCTCATGAACTGCACAGGGCTTGACAACGGCACCCATCATCTCAGCACTTGGGAGGCCAGGCTAGCTCGGTCTACACAGAGACCTTGTACCAGATAAATGAGTAAACGTAAAAGTGTTGCCAGATGGCTCCCAAGTGGTCAGCGGGAAAGGTGACCTGAGGTCCATTTTCAGGAACCCACTCGATGGAAGGAGAAGGATCCTGTGGGTTGTTGTAAGCCCCTGCTAGGCCCCATCCACAAGTAATACAATGAATAAGCCAGGCACACACAGCACTTGGGAGGTGGAGGCAGGAAGATCAGGAGTTCAAGGCTATCCTCTGCTTGAGGCTAACCTGGGCTACCTGCAAGTTATCCTAAACAAAAGGTAAAATTCCCTAGTAAGGGGGCTGGAGGCGTGGTCAAGGTCTGAGCCTCGCCCAGAATCCCCCAGTGAGGGATTGGGGGCGTGGTCATGGTAGAGCCCCCCCCAGTGAATGACAGGGGGCGTGGTCAGGATGGAGCCCCTCCTAGAATCCGCCCAGTGAGGGATTTGGGCGTGGTCAGGGTGGAGCCCTGCCTAGAATCCCCAGTGAGGGGCTGGGGGCGTGGTCAGAGTGGAGCCCCGCCTAGAATCCCCAGTGGGGGGCTGGGGGCGTGGCTCACTCTGGTGGAAGGGGGTTAGGCCAGGAAGAGGCTCAGGGTATGTAGTCCCTGGGTCCGCACCTGACTACTCCCTGACTCCGTAGGTCCCACATTCTGACCCTGCCATCTGTGAAGCCTGCGAAGGTAATGTTCTCCTCTGTGCTGGCTAGCACCTGGCAGGACAGGCCCTTGCAAGGCAGCTGGCACTTCTCGTACAGGAACGGGGCTGCCAGGTCCCACACGCTCACGCATGGCAGGCTGTGTCCGCCGGCGAACAGGGTCCTACTGTTAGAGGACAGCAGGCAGGTGCGCAGGTACGCCCCGCTGGTCTGCAGAGCACGGGCCCCATGAGTGAGGGTCCATCCACGCTGGTGGCTTCCAGACCCCGCCTCCAGGCACCTTCCCTGCCCCGCACACCTGGATGCCACACTGCAAGTGGCTCTCGGGAAATCGGTCCTCTGCCACCTGGTTCGTTAGACTCCACACCTTGATGCCACTCCGGCTACAGGTGAAGACGTGCCTTGTGAAGCAGCTCACGGCCATCGCCAACAGGAGTTCCCCGTGTCTCAACACTCGCACCTTCTGCAGGGCCTGGGGGACAGTGGACCTCTTCGATTGCCAGAGTGATGCACCTGGTCTCTCCCAGCTGGGCTCTAAGTTCTCAGAGTCCCAGGACCTGGGGACAGGAGAAAGGGAGACGGGGAGGGGACGGAATGGGTGGGTGGGGGTGGTACAGGGTGTGAGATTTTCAAGGCAGGTTCTTGCTTAGTCCAGGCTGGCCTTGAATTCCCTACTTAGCCAAGGCTGGCCCCTCTTGAGTGCAAGGAGACAGTTTTCAATTCTTGACATAGCTACATCTGCTTCCCCACTCTATCTAAAGTGTTTTGCCCAATTAGACTAAACTTTCATGCACCCTCTTATGGCCCTAATTATCACATTCCCTTTTCCAAGTAGTTTTCTCCAGACTACAGGATTGGGAGAATCTGTGTTGAGTTTTAAGTGAGAGATTCATTCCCCAACGCTTTAAAAATTATTGTTTTACTTATTAATTTGCGTGTGTGTGTGGTCAGGATAACTTGTGGGAGTCAGTTTTCACTTTTAGTCATTGGGTCCAGGGATCAAACTCAGTTCCAGGCTTGTTAGCAGCAAGCCCCTTTCCCTGCTGAGCTCTCTTGCTGGCCCCTCTCCCCTCCCCTTCCACCACCAGTTAGGACAGGGGTGGGGGAACAGAGGAGCAGGGATGGGGAATGGAGGGGCAGGGTAAAAGTAATCTTGCTCTCCCCCTACTCACAGGGGCTTCAGAAATGGACCAGCACTTCCAGAAGATTCCTGTGGTGCAAAGAAAGAAGCTGACCCTGCTGGATTGTGACTCACCTGCCAGGTCTGCATCAGGGTCCCCTGCTCACCTGGGTCTCACATTGGAGCTGGCTGATGTCTTTCTGGGAAATGCCAAGCAGACCCAAGGAAGCCTCACTCAGGCTTGGGGCTGTATGAGACAGCAGAATTTAGGGGGAACCCAGCAACCTCAGTCCCTCCACGCCCCAGGCCCCTCCACACCCCAGGCCCCGCCTTCCTACAGAAGTCACTCAGGCTGCCTCTGGGCTTGGGCTCAGACTTGGGTTCTCCTTCTGAGTCAGGCAGGCAGAAGTCTTTGTTTTCCTGGGAGACAGAACTGGGTCAGCTAGGGGACACATGACCCAGGGGAACCCAGCAGATGCCTGGGGGTCCAGGGCTGCACCCAGCAGAGTGCAGGGATGAAGTGGGAGGGGCGTTGTAGGGCAGATGTGTGTTGGGGTTCCCAGCCAAGGGTACTCACCAGTCCCAGCAGCTCCTCTATCATCATGACAACCGGTGAGGAGGAAGAGAGATGGAGAGCAATGAGGTTTGCCTGGACACCCAAAGCACTCCCCCCAGCCCGTGAGTGAGGGGCCCTCACCCTCCTGTGCCTGCTGGTTCTCCGGGTTTTCCCTGAAAAGTTTCCAGAGTTCCTGGGTCAGGGTATCGCTCCAGAACGTGGGTTCCTTGTCCCACACAGGCTGTGGGTCCTGCTGCTCCTCCTCAGTCTTGGAGAGGCACTGTCGTCTGGTGAACAGCTGAGGCTCCGGGGTGGCCTTGAGTTCCTCGGGGTCCTGGGGGGCCGTGGTCTCTGGGCCCTGCTTGGCTTTTTTCTCAGTCGAAGTCTGAACAGCCTGGACAGAGCCCATGTGACCTCGTGAGAAACAGGACTTGGCCACATTGTCTGTCCCCTCCAGCTCCAGGGCACATACTCACCTTGATCATCTCCAGGATGCGGGGGGACTTGCTGAAGATCCCCACCAGCTGGAAGAAGTTTTCCACCTAGAATAAGTTAGGGTTGAACCTTACTGCAGGGCACTAACGTAGGGAAGGAGTGTGGTAATGCTGGGCACTTGGCAACCTCTCTGTACACAGAGGCAAGCTCTGCACTGCGGGATAAACCACCTTACACACACCCAAGCATGGTAGTGTCCACCTGCCCATCTCCCAAGGTTGAGGCAGGAGGATCAGGAGTTCAGGATCATCCTTAGCTACATACTGAGTTTGAGATCCTGTCTTCCAAACAAACTTCAACTAAAAGAGCAGTTAAGACCACAAATAGGGCTTGGGATGCGGCTGTTGAGGTACAACCCCCCCCCCACCCCCTGCCCCCCCCCCCAACTCGCCGAGCCCTTCCCCAGCATAAATCAAAGGCCTTCGTATTATTTTGCACGTGGGGAAACTGAGGTCCAGAGACTCAAACAGCAGCCAGGGGCTAATTTTTCAGCAGTCTTGCTCCTTCCTCTTTGAGCTTTTGTGGACCACTCCCCCCCCCCAAGGAGGGGGAGCCCCCTGGATGGAGGCTGCAGACCCAGGGAGCTGCCTCCCTGGGAGGGGATGATGGATTCCAGGACAGCGCCAGCCTAGGGGCTGCACAAAACCCAGGGGAGCCCTCCCGATCCAACACGCCCCCTGCCCGCCCCCGGCTCATTAACGTGCAATTTACTGGCACTTTAGTGTGCCTGGTGCTCAGAGTACGTGGAGGGAGAGCTGCCGCTCCCCCCTGCTGCTCCTGGGGGAGGGGGCTTGTGTTCCCGGTGTGAGGCTGGGGGGCGGGGCGGTTAAAAGCAAGGGAACTGGGGAAACCAGGAGCTGCAGGGAGCTGCCCAGGATATCACAAGATACAGGCAGTGACTGGCCCTATGTACTTGTCAATCATTCCCTCAATGACTACAGCCCAGCCCCCCACTAGCCCTTCATTCTTGCACCTGATGCTAGATCAGTCCCCTTGCTCTACCAACGACTGCCTTCCAGGGCTCCTACGGCTCAATGGGCGGGGTCAAGGCCCGGAACTCCCTGCAGCCCCCATAAGCCCTGCACACCCTGTCACTCTTGCCTCCCCCTCCTCCCGTTGCCCCCACGCGGGGGTGGGGTGGGGGTGGGGTGGGGGAGACGACGGGACGGACCACTGCCTCTGGCCTTTGCAGAGGACCGTCCCCCCTCCCAGTGCACCTTCCTAAGCACCCTGAGCGGTAGACCCTGCCTGGAGCTTTTGGCGCCCATCCACCATCCCCCTTTAGTCTCCGGTCCTTGTTGTCTCCCTGGCACCTCTGCCGGCCTGGCGAATGGTGACTGCTGAGGCTGCTGAGAGCCTTGAATGAACAACCATGTTCTGGTGGCTTTCTGCCCACCCCCGCCACTGCCCTATCCCCACCCCCATTGAGCTGCAGTCCTGGCCCTGGCTGCCCACCAGTGACATCTGGCCCTGGGCAGCGCTTCCTTCCTGCCAGTGCCCTTGAGAAAGAGGCCAGGTGGCAGGAGGGGAGGCGGATGAGGGCGCACGTGCCTTGGCTAGGGCGGCGGGGGGGGGGGGGGGGGGGAGGAGCTGGGAGCCTCTCCGAAGGCCTGTCTCCAGCTCATGCATGGGAACCCTGTGCAACCCTGACCCAGGAACTCCGGGGCACCTGGGACCCGGGCAGAAGATGAGCCACAGCTAGGTAGGTATAAGCACTCTGAATCAACTCCCTCCTACCTGTCTGCAACCCTGGGTGGCTCTCACCTCCCTGGAGTCAAAGACCCTGGAATCCTCTCTCCACCCCTCCCCTCCCAGGACACTGATCACCAGGCTCCAGCTCCCCACCCTCCACCCCGCCACCCCTGCTCTGGTCCCCAGCTCCAGTTCACCTGCTTGTGATGCTCCTGGAAGGATTGATTGATTCTGTTTACCTGAAAACACAGCAGATGAGGAGTGGGTCTGTGTCCCTGAGAAAACCCCTTCACCTCTATGATCCCGTTCCTTTACTCTTGAGACAACAGAGGCCCATGGAGCCCAGCCTGGCCTTGATCCTCCCGCCTGCCTCCACCTCCCTGGGCTGGGACGGCTGGTCTGGGCCAGTCACCAGGTGTTTAACTCTGCTTTTAAATAAAATATAACTACATCCTTTTCAATGGGAAATCAAGTCCAACTCTCTCTTGCAGCCTCCCAGGCCCTGCCCGCTCCTCTGCCAACCTCCCCTCTCTCGAGTGCACACACAGGCCTCCTCCCTGCTGCCCACACCCCCGGCACAGCTACTGCCTCTCAACTGACGCTGGGGTAGCTTACCAAGATGGAGATGTTGTCTAGCTGGATCATCATCTCAGAGAGAACACTGATGGTGGGGAAAGCAGTTGAGCATCCTTCTAGAAACAGACCCCGACCTGCCCTAGGGCAGAACCCCGGGAGGACCACAGGAGGGTGCCACCCAAACCCTTCTATCTGGCGCAGGGAGTGTGCACATTAAAAGCACGCATCTGCCACTGCTTATCTGGGGACAGGATTTGGTGGCTGGGTGACCCAGGTAGCCCTGGAACTCAACATCCTTTTGCACACCGCTACAAAATCAACACCCCAGCTTGAAAACAAACCCGAAGAACACTTCACTAGAAATCAGCCTTCGCTTCTGGCCGCCCTCACCTCGAGGATGCGCCCCCTCCCCCCAGGGAAACCCTTACCTGTTCAGTTCCTCTGGCATCTGTTTGATGATGGAGGAGTACCTTTCGGACAAGCTGGAAGGCTGGAAAGGTCAAAGGCCAGAACCATAAAGTCTGCAGCACTCCCAGCTCCCAGACAGCCCCTGAGATGCCAGTCAGGTCCAGCTTCTTGAAGCCCTGAACTCTCGGGGTACAGGACCAGCCATAAAGGGGAAATGGTAGAGCCTTCTAGATCTAGACCCTGGTTCTCAGGGACCCTTTAAGACGGCAGATGCTCATGCTGCGGCGACCACCACCCACAGAATTCTTCCCTTGCTACTGTTAGGGATCACAATGTAAATAGCTGATACACAAGACATCCAATATGATCTCAAGGGGGTCACAACCCACATGCTGGCGTCAACTCAGGGTGGACCTGTGCCTAACACTGCCTTGACCGTTAGAGAAGGGCGGAGGGAGGAGAGGGAGCAGGGAATATCAGCCTATTTTCTGTGTGTTTTTCCAGACAGGGTCTCACTATATAGTCCTGACTGGGCGGGCCTCCAACTCAGAGATCCGCCTGCCTCTGCCTCCTGACTGCTGGGATTAAAGGCGCACACCAACTTTAATCACACAATAGTGTTAACTAAACATAGGACCAGCATGCTAGGCAGGACTGAACCCTGACCACGCACGCTCCCAGCCTCTCACTGCGGGGATTCTAGGCGGGGCTCCACTCTGACCACGCTCCCAGCCCCTCACTGGGGATGCTAGGCGGGGCTCCAGTCTGACCTGGGCCCCAGTAGGCAGGCCCACCCCTGCTTTCTGGACCAGGTGAAGTCCAGGTGATTGACATTGGGAAAGCAGGCCCGGGCTTCACCGCTCATTTTCATCTGCGCAGCGGGGTCACAGGTGCAGACACTGTGCGGGGCTGTTTTCCTAGCTAGGTCTGCGAGAGTTGCTGCTGGTGCCAGGCCAGGCTGGCACCGTGAGACTCGGTCTCCAAAACCCCAAGCAACCCCACCCCGCGGCCCCTCACCACCTCTCACCAAAATTCCACCAGCGGTGCCATTGTTCTGGCTGTAGGAAGTCATCTAGAAGATTGTGGAAGTAACAAATCTGGCGAGTCCTGCAGAGGGGCAGGTTCGGGTTTAGACGGAAAAGCCGACCACCGACCATCTCTGTAGTCAGGACCCAGCTGCAGAGGAAGCTTCCTCCCTCATCCCCATGCTCTCTGCATCCCCAAAGCCCCGTCTTTACTGCAGGGGCTACGGTTCCAGAACCACCGCCCCCAGGTAAGCATGGGGGGGGGGGGGGCTCATCCCTTCGGATACCAAGGAAAGCGTACCGGGAGCAGTCATGGATGTGGTGAGTCGCCTACGGTTTTGAGGGACGAGTAAGTTTACCAGGCGTACTAATAAAGCATGCACGTGGGGTACATATATATACAAACACTCAGGCACAGACGGAAAACATTTTTTAAAAAAGAACTTAGGAGACAAGAGAAACGACATTTGATTCATTCTCCCATCACTCAACATGGGCAAACTCCCCGCTGAAGTCAGTTTTGTGCGGGTCAACGCCCCTCCAGCTCCCTCTACTCCCTCACCCGCGCAAACTGCCTGCAGGAAGCGGGCTGCCCCCACGCACCACCTCAGAGGACGGGGAGGCCCCTAGGACCCCAGAGGAAGCCACAGAGGTCAGCCAAGTTCAGGCCAGGAGGAAGCCCCTCCTGCTGGGCCCCCGGCCATTTGACCCCTCCGACCCCGCCCCGCTCGGCCCCGCCCCAAGCCACGTTCCCACCTGCACCCACACAGAGAAGCGTCAGGGCTCAGGCCACTGGTGCACGTGGGCTCGGGGCTGCACGAGCCGCCTTAGCAGGTGCTGGCCAATCAGGAGGCCGTAAGCCCACGTGGCCCGCGATCCCAGCTGCTCATTGTTCAGCCTGTGGCCCGGCTGTCAATCACGGAGTTCCAGGCCTCGGGTTAACCCCCGCATTCCCGGTGCTGTTTGGAAGCTGGGAGAGGATTTCAGAGTGGTTAAATCTGAATATTTGGGGGATGCGAGGGGTCAGCAGGTGGCAGTGATACATCCAAGACCTTTGATCTGAGTTCGATCCATTGGACCCACATGTTGGAAGACACACACACGCACACGCATACACGCACACACGAATAAATTTCCTTTTAATCTGGGTGAGCTAGAGAGAATTCAGCAGTTGAGAGCACCGGCTGCTCTCGCACAGGACCCTGGTTCGATCTCAGCACCCAGGTGGTGGCCCTACAGTGATCTGATCTGTAACTCCAGTTCCAGAGGCTCTGAACTCAAGGAGCGCACATACATGCAGACAAGACATCCGTCTACATAAAATAAGATGCAGAAGAATTAATTCAAAGCCGCGCAGTGGTGGCGCACGCCTCTCATCCTTGCACTGAAGGCAGAGGCAGATGGATCTCTTGTGAGTTTGAGATCAACCTGGTCTACAGAGCGAGTTCCAGAACAGCTGGAGTTACACAGAGAGACCCTGTCTCGAAAAACCAACCAACCAAACAAAAATCTCCAAAAAATAAAAATAAATAAAAAAATCAGAGGGCCCACTTTTGAAATTCTGGGGTGTGCTGATGGAGTGGGAAATCGTAGCTTGAGAACCCCCCAAATTTCCCGTGAGAAACGAGGCTTTGGGTGTCCTGCGAAGTGACACTGACCTGCCTGTGTGCCCAGGCTAGCCCTTCCTCCTCTGCAAATTGAAGTCTGAGGATCAGGACTCAACTTAGTCGCAAGGTTAAGAAAAAAAAAAGGGGGGGGGGGGCACAGCCCGGCTGGCACACATACGCCCAAGATCCTATCCTCAGCATCTCCTGAACTCGGACCAGCACTGGAAGGCAGAGGCAGGAAGGTTGAGAGTTCAAGGCCATCCTGGGACCCTGAGACTCATAGCAAGTTCCAGGCTAACCTGGACCACAAGAAAAAGACAGAAAAAGCTGAGAGCACAAAGCTACATTCCTAGACTTCCAAATTCAAGGGTGGAAAGGGGGGCCAACCACTGGACTCTGGCAGGACCTCAGTGCCAGATTCTGGCCCTCCACAGGGGACCCTGGGGTGAAGTGGACTCTGGAGCCCCTTCCCCCACCTCCATGTTGCTCCAGTCGCAGGTGAAGGGTGTGAAATTAAACCACGACCTCTGTGTACACGGAGACAGGGAGATGACGGTGAGTTTGGGGCCAGCCTGTGCTCCCTAGTAAGAGCAGCTGTAAACAGAACGATTGGGATGTGACAGGGCTCAGTGGGTGAGGGGATTGCTGCCAAGCCTGATGGTGGGAGTTCAATCCCTGTGCCCCACACAGCAGAAGGCAAGCATGCCCTTCACCCCACCACACACACACACACACACACACACACACACACACACACACGAGTAACTGTAACTCAATTAGGCCCAGGTCACAGTAACTTTCCCTTCATTAAAAAATTAATTTACAGGGCTGGAGAGATGGCTCAGAGGTTAAGATCACTGACTGTGCGTCCAGAGGTCCTGGGTTCAATTCCTAGCAACCACATGGTGGCTGAAACCACTGTAATGCCCTTGTCTGGCCCGCAGCCATACGTGCAGACAGAACACTGTACACATAATACATAAATAAATCTTTAAAAAAATTAATTTACAGAGAAACCCTGTCTCAAAAAACAAAAACAAGGGGCTGGAGAGATGGCTCAGAGGTTAAGAGCACTGACTACTCTTCCAGAGGTCCTGAGTTCAATTCCCAGCAACCACTTGGTGGCTCACAACCATCTGTAATGAGATCTGGTGCCCTCTTCTAGCCTTCAAGTGTACATGCAGTCAGAAAACATAATAAATAATTCTTTAGAAAACATTTTAATTGATGCGTATAAATGTTTGCTTGCATGCATGTGCATTATGTGTGTGCCTGGTACTCAGAATCCAGAAGAGGGTGTCTCATCCCCTGTAACTGGAGCCACCATGTAGGTGCTGGGACTCAAACCCAGGTCCTCTGAAAGAGCAGCCAGTGCTGGGAACTGCTGAGCCCGCTCTCCTCCTGACCAGGGCTGTTGCGCATGCTAGGTCAATCCTCAAGCCGCCCTTATCTGTTTTAGCCTTGACTGTCACTGCAAGGCCCTGGCAGGACCATAGATCTGCTCCTGAGCACGGGGCTGGGCAGCGAGCTGAAGCCGGCCTGTGGGGGGTGTGGGGTGGAGGGGGTCCCCCCCCCCTGCGGCGCTCATGCCTATTATGACTACGTGAGATGGCGTCACCACCACAGCTGCTACTGCAGAACTCTTCAGTCATGGTGCCGACATTTCCTTTGTTGGGGGAGGTGGCGCACTTGGGAGGCGGAGCACGGAAGATCTCTGCGAGTTTGAGACCAGCCTGGCTACAGAGTGCGATTGTGTCTCAAAACACCAATACTAGTACTACTAATAATAACAAACAAACAATAAATAATAACGATAGGAATAAATAATGAATTCCGGCACACAGGAGGCAGAGACAAGCAGATCTCCGAGTTTGAAGCCTCCAGGACACCCTGGGTTACACACAGATGAACTTTGTCTCAGAAAACCAAATGAATAAACAAACAGACAAATTAGTAAATAATTACAAATTTTTCTCCTAAGACGGGGTTCTCTGTGTGTAGCCCTGGCTGTCCTGGAACTTGCTCTGTAGACCAGATTGGCTTCAGACTCAGAGATCTGCCTGCCTCTGTCTCCTGTGTGCTGGATTAAAGACGTGCACCACCATTACCCAGCATTAATGACAAAGCCATTTTGTTTTTTTCCCCCAGTCCTAGAGATCCAGGGTGTTGTATATGCTATTCATTGTGTTTAATTATTATTATTTTAAGATTTATTTATTACCTACATAGTATTCTGCCTCCACGTATGCCTGCAGGCCAGAAGAGGGCACCAGATCTCACTACAGATGGTTGTGAACCATCATGTGGTTGCTGGGAATTGAACTCAGGTCCTCTGGAAGAGCAGTGAGTGATATTAACTACTGAGCCATCTCTCCAGCCCCACACTTAGTTATTTTATTTACTTTATGTTATAACCTTACTTTTTAATATTGAAGTAAGGAGTTTTAATTGTGTGTGTGTTTGGAGGGCTGTGTGTATGGGAGTGCGGTTGTCTGCAGTCGCCAGAAGAGGGCATGCAGCTGGAGTTGTGGGCTTGACAAGGCTGAAGCCTTTGTGCTGGGAAGTGCTCCTAAGTGCTGATTCATCTCTCCAGGACATTCTACCCCGCTCCCCATGATCATTTAAAAAATATTATTTATTGTTTTGTCTGTCCTTTTTCATTTCATTTGTTGAGTTACTTAATTTTAAAAGCCATTGTATCATTTTATTATTTTATTGTATTTATTTTCTTACAATTTTTATTTATTTATTGCGGTTTTCAAGACAGGGTTTCCCTGTATAGCCTTGGCTGTCCTAGAACTCACTCCGTAGACCAGGCTGGCCTTGAACTCAGAGATCCGTCTGCCTCTGCCTCCTGACTGCTGGGGTTAAAGGCGTGCGCCACCACTTCCCAGCCCATTTTATTTTAAAATTTATTCTTATAAGAATGCAGGAGGACTTTGTGATCCTCCTGCATCAGCTTCAGGGAATTGCTGTAGCTAGGTTCCCGGAGGACAGAAATTTGAGAAGCAAGGCGCGGGGTCAGACAGGTGGGCAGGGCGGAGGTGAAGGAAAACAGCGAGGAGGCTGGCGTGTCGCCCCTCAAGGCGGGTTTGTCACCCACACTCCCCGCAGCGGTGGGCCAGAGTCCGAGCCTCTGCTTCATCCACTCCTGCTCCCGGCTTGTCGTCTGGGGAGTAAACGGTTGGTTGAATATTCCTTAGAGACACACAAGCGCTTTAGGGTGTCTTGCGTTGAGTGACCCCGGTTGTCGCCCCAGACCTCAGTAGGGGTGCGGAGGTCTCGGCTGTTCCTTTGGGAAGCTTTGCTGGGTTAGCGGCGGCGCGCGCAGGCGAGCACGGTCGCCATCTGCTGTCAGCAGCCGGGCACCGCAGGCTTCCAGAGCCGAGAAAGGGGCTGGGGGTGGGTGAGGAGTGGGGCGGGCTGGGGGTGGGTGAGGAGTGGAGCGGGCTGGGGGTGGGTGAGGAGTGGGAGCGGGCTAGGGGTGGGTGAGGAGTGGGGCGGGCTGGGGGTGGGTGAGGAGTGGGGCGGGCTGGGGGTGGGTGAGGAGTGGGGCGGGCTGGGGGTGGGTGAGGAGTGGGGCGGGCTGGGGGTGGGTGAGAGGTGTGGGAGTGGGCTGGGGTGGGTAAGAAGTGTGGGGGTGGGCTGGGGGTGGGTGAGGAGTGGGGCGGGCTGGGGGTGGGTGAGGAGTGGGGCGGGCTGGGGGTGGGTAGGTGTGGAGCGGGCTGGGGGTGGGTGAGGAGTGGGGCGGGCTGGGGGTGGGTGAGGAGTGGGGCGGGCTGGGGGTGGGTGAGGAGTGTGGGAGTGGGCTGGGGGTGGGTAGGTGTGGAGCGGGCTGGGGGTGGGTGAGGAGTAGGGCGGGCTGGGGGTGGGTGAGGAGTGGGGCGGGCCGGGGGTGGGTGAGGAGTGTGGGAGTGGGCTGGGGGTGGGTGAGAAGTGTGGGAGTGGGCTGGGGGTGGGTAGGTGTGGGGCGGGCTGGGGGTGGGTGAGGAGTAGGGCAGGCTGGGGGTGGGTGAGGAGTGGGGCAGGCTGGGGGTGGGTGAGGAGTGTGGGAGTGGGCTGGGAAGGGTGAGAAGTGTGGGAGTGGGCTGGGGGTGGGTGAGGAGTGGGGCGGGCTGGGGGTGGGTGAGGAGTGGGGCGGGCTGGGGGTGGGTGAGGAGTGGGGCGGGCTGGGGTGGGTGAGGAGTGGGGCGGGCTGGGGGTGGGTAGGTGTGGGGCGGGCTGGGGGTGGGTGAGGAGTGGGGCGGGCTGGGGGTGGGTGAGGAGTGGGGCGGGCCGGGGGTGGGTGAGGAGTGTGGGAGTGGGCTGGGGGTGGGTGAGAAGTGTGGGAGTGGGCTGGGGGTGGGTAGGTGTGGGGCGGGCTGGGGGTGGGTAGGTGTGGGGCCGGCTGGGGGTGGGTGAGGAGTAGGGCGGGCTGGGGGTGGGTGAGGAGTGGGGCAGGCTGGGGGTGGGTGAGGAGTGGGGCGGGCTGGGGGTGGGTGAGGAGTGGGGCGGGCTGGGGGTGGGTGAGGAGTGGGGCGGGCTGGGGGTGGGTGAGGAGTGGGGCGGGCTGGGGGTGGGTAGGTGTGGAGCGGGCTGGGGGTGGGTGAGGAGTGGGGCGGGCTGGGGGTGGGTGAGGAGTGGGGCGGGCCGGGGGTGGGTGAGGAGTGTGGGAGTGGGTTGGGGGTGGGTGAGAAGTGTGGGAGTGGGCTGGGGGTGGGTAGGTGTGGGGCGGGCTGGGGGTGGGTGAGGAGTAGGGCAGGCTGGGGGTGGGTGAGGAGTGGGGCAGGCTGGGGGTGGGTGAGGAGTGTGGGAGTGGGCTGGGGGTGGGTGAGGAGTGGGGCGGGCTGGGGGTGGGTGAGGAGTGGGGCGGGCTGGGGGTGGGGCGGAGAAGGTGGGGGAGGGATGGGGCTCTGATTGTAGGGCTTGCAGAGACTTCACCTGTCTTTCAGGTACTAGAAACAGAGAGGTAGGGGAATCTGTGAGTCTGAGGCCAACCTGGGCTACAGAGTGAGACTCTGTCTCAAACAAAGAATAAAATTAAAATGAAGAAAAAAAGTGGAGAGAGAGACAGAGAGACAGAGAGACAGAGATTGAGAGAGAGAGATTGAGAGAGAGAGAGAGAGAGAGAGAGAGAATGTTGAAAGCGATTGAAAGAGAGAGAATGTTGAAAGCGATTGAAAGAAATACCACTCAGGAGGAATACGGCCTTGTGTTCCAGGGCCCGCAGCACTGCACCTGAGCATGTGCACAGCATGCAGTACCTGCGGAGGCCGGGAGGGGGCGTCGGCTGCCCAGGACTGGAGTCAGGCGGTCCTGAGCCCGCGGGGTCCTCTGCGGGGGTAGCGGACCGCTAACTGCGGAGCATCTCTCCGGCCTCATCAGTCTATTTGAGTACACAGGTGGGTGGACAGCTACAGAGAACAAGATGGACGTCAGAATCAGCACCTGCAGGGCTCGGGACCCCCACTTGCCCGACCTGGGAATCGAACTGTGGCTCTCAGGCTTGGCTGCGAGCATCCCCACCGCCGAGCCCTCTAGCCCAGCTAGTGGACCTGGTCATTGGTGACCGGAGCATCCGGGCATCCAGGAAAGACCCGCTGTACGGTGTCAAAGCTAAGCCCCGCCCGCCAGCGCATTTTGACAGCGGCACTATCCAATCGCCTTTGAGTAGAGGCGGGCACTGGCGGCTCCGGGATCGGCCAGTGGAGGACTGAGCGGTCCAGCCCAACTGCTATAGTTACCAATTCCGTGGTCGACTTCCTGTTCTGGGGAGAAAACCGGGACAGGATCCTGAGATTGGCTGGAATTGGATGTTGGGGCGACTGAAAGATGTTCGGAAATGCAATATGGTGCTCTGTCGTCACGGCCTTAGTCGCTTTTGCAACCGGGCTCTTGACCCAAAGTCATCCTCCTCTGACTGAGGTGCCAGAGCCCCGAATGCGCGGTGGTAGTCACCGGCTGCGGATTTGGTTGTAAAGAATAGTCGTTTGAGTACTCGGGAGGTCGTGACTTTGGATTAGGGTGCGGGGTACAGCGTCCTTGCAGGGCAAAATGTATGGGTCCCCACAGAGCCACAAAAACATTGAAAAAATAAAAGCCTGCAGTAGGGCTCAGTGGACTAAGGTGTTTGCCGTCTAGCGTGATGAACTGAGTTCAAGTCCTGGGACCCACGTGGTGGAAGGAGAGCCTGTCCTAGAACTCACAGTGTAGACCAGGCTGGCCTCGAACTCAGAAAGCCACCTCCCGAAGGTTGCGATTAAAGGCGTGCGCCACCACGCCCGGCTTGGAGTAATATTTTCTTTGCCTCATCATTCCCTCCCTCCCCCAGCAGAGCCGCAATGAAGTCCGGGGAAGGATGTGTGCGGGTTCTGTATTAGTGGTTTGTCACTGGTGAGTCTCTGGATTTCGGGGAGTCAACCGTGGTCCAGGCAAGTGACTTACGCGAGCGTGGAGACCAAAGTAACCCTGGCTATCCGTCCTCTGGAGCCCCTTTCCACCACTGACCGAACCCCACCGCTGTATCCTTGAGGCCGAGTGGCAATTGACTGCGTGGGTTCACGTTATTCGTTTCTGGGTTTGGTGATCGAACCCAGAGTGTCGCACTGCGGGACAGTGTCTCTCCCACTGGCTCTCCCCTGCTCACTTGAGGTTTAAGTAACCCTAAAAGTCAGGTAGTCCGTGCTGTGGTCTGTGGGCATTGGAAGTGTCCCTCTGTGTGGCCTGGACTGTCCTCAAACCCTAATCCTCCTGCCTCCACCTCCTGCGTGCCGCGGTGAGAGGCCTATGGAAATGCCTGGAGCATCACAGGAACCCTGCCTTGTCCAACCCCTTCATGGCCATATCTGAGTGGGAAACAGTGGGGAAGGGGACCCCGAGTGGCCACCAGATTGACTCAGTTGCAATGATCAGGAGCCAGCAAAGGGCTGCCAATCAAGCTGCAGGGGCGGGGCAAGGGAGGATTGGTTTAGGAGCTGAGTGCAGCATCTGTCAGTCAGGTCCCGAAGGGCGGATTCTAGGAGAGCCACCCAATCACAACACAGTCTAGTTAGAGGGTCATGTGATTTGTCCAATCAGAGCCCGGAGGCGGGGCGTCGCGGCTGCAGCTATCAATCGCTTCACAAACCGCTAAACTGACCCAGGCCTCGCGGAGGATGATGAGTGGACCGCTGGAGGGGACACCACGGGCACCGTGGCCAGGAATCGGCTCTGAGGCCACTGTGTGGGACAAAGGGATTGGGAAACTGGGCTTAACCCTCCCGAAACGCGGCAAAATCGAATGTGTGCAGAGCATCCCAGCAGTAGCAATTCTGAGGCAGTGGGATTGCCACAAGTTCAAAGTCAGTCTGGGCCACAAGAATAAATTACTAGAAAGAACTGGGCCGGGCGGTGGTGGCGCACGCCTTTAATCCCAGCACTCGGGAGGCAGAGGCAGGCGGATCTCTGTGAGTTCGAGGCCAGCCTGGTCTACAATAGCTAGTTCCAGGACAGACCCCAGAGCTACAGAGAAACTCTGTCTCGAAAAACCAAAAAAAAAAAAGTTCTCTTATATGGGAAGGGTTACCTAGGGTTAGGTGAGGCTGCAGCTCACACTGTGACCTGCCAACCAGCCTGTTTTCACGAGGAGCCTCGGGTGACCGAAACCATCAGTTGAGTGACCACTGAACAATCTGGTCTAGGTGAACACTGGAGACAAGTGGTCCAGACTCACAGGGGAGTGAATGTGGAGTTGGTGGAGACTGACCTTGTCCTGGGTCTGCTAGGAAGGAAGGAATGGGGCACCGTTCATCTGCTTGTGGGAGGTCACTTCCAGGTCAAGAGGGTGCAGGACTTCCCTTAGACCCCTGTTGTACTGAGCACAGTAGTGCATCCCATGCTTCAGCACTAGCAGAAGGTGCTCTACCCCTGACCACGCCCCCCAGCCCCCACAGTGAGGGATTCTAGGCGGGGCTCCACCCTGTTTAGGCTTGGGGGTTTCTCTGTGTGGCCCTGGCTGTCCTGGAACTAGCTCTTGTAGACCAGGCCTCGAACTCACAGAGATCCGCCCACCTCTGCCTCCTGAGTGCTAGGATTAAAGGCGTGCGCCACCACCGCCCGGCCCTCCCTTTCTTTAAAACATTATTTATTTTTACTTTATGTGCATTGGTGTTGTGCCTGCATGTATATATAAGGGAACCAGACTCACGGGAACTGGAGTTACAAACAGCTGTGAGTGGTCATGTGGGTGCTGGGGATTGAACCTGAGTCCTCTTGAAGAGCAGTCGGTGATCTTAATCGCTGAGCCATCTCTCCAGCCCACAGTGCCCCCTTTCTTAATGCGGCCTAACTTGTCTTCTGGGCCAGGGCCAGTGATCCCTCTCAGATCCGCCTCTGGACCAGGGACTGAACTTGGGTCCTTGTGCCTGAGTGGCATGTCCCTTACAGGTAGGTCCGACTCCGCAGGCCCAACACTTGATTTCCCTTCATCTGCAGTCATAAGTTTTGTCTGTGGGCACTCTAGCAATGTGAGGGAGGTCCTTTATGGCCCCTCCCCACGCCTCCCCTCCTCCTCCCCTTTCCTTTCCTCTGTCCCTTCCCTCCTCTCCCCTCCGCATCTTCTCTACTCCTCATTCTCTGTAGTGGAGATAGAGCCGAGGACCTCACTCTTACTAGGCCAGGACTCTCCCAACAAGCCGCTGGGCCCCCTCACTGCCAGGGGGGCCTTTTCCTGTGGCAGGAGAAGAGGGAGGTCTGGTTTTCCTCGTTTTGTCATTTCTTGGTCAGGGTGGTCTTGGAGCTGTTTCAGATCCTCAGGGTCTAGGTGAAGACAGTGGCACCACCCAGCGTGGGCTGAGCCCTCCTGTATTGATCACTGATTGAGAATATGCCTTACAGCTGGATCTCATGGAGGTTTTCCTCAGCTGAGTCCTCTGATGACTTTAGCTTGCGTCAAGTTGATACAAAACCAGCCAGTGAATGCCTTACTTAACACTTGATGGATTCAAAATGTAATCCCAGGAGGCCTGGGCAATGGGCATGGTGGCATTTCCCTTTAATCCCAGCACTCGGGAGGCAGAGGCAGGTGGATCTCTGCAAGTTCGAGGCCAGCCTGGTCTACAGAGTGAGTTTCAGGCAAGGCAGGGCTATGTAGAGAGACCCTGTCTCAGAACACAAGCAGGAGGCTGAAATAGCTCAGTTAGGAGAGGGTTAGACTGAACATCTAGGGGTCCCTGGTTTGGTCCTGGCTTTCAGCAATGAGGATCTATCTTTTGTTTTGTTTTCTCTAATAAAATTACTTCTGCAGGGGCTGGAGAGATGGCTCAGCGGTTAAGAGCATTGCCCGCTCTTCCAAAGGTCCTGAGTTCAATTCCCAGCAACCACATGGTGGCTCACAACCATCTGTGATGAGGTCTGGTGCCCTCTTCTGGCCTGCAGGCATACACACAAACAGAATATTGTATACATAATAAATAAATATTAAAAAAAAGAAAAACCACAATGTTTAAAAAAATTACTTCTGTATGCACTATCTTCCTTTAAGCTGGGTGGTGGTGGCGCATGCCTTTAATCCCAGCACTCGGGAGGCAGAGACAGGTGGTTCTCTGTGAGTTCGAGGCCAGCCTGGTCTACAGGAGAGAGTTCCAGGACAGGCTCCAAAGTTACAGAGAAACCGTGTCTCGAAAAACCAAACCAAACCGACCAACAAACAAACAAAAACTGCAAACAAACTATCTATGTGTCTGCGAAGACTGAACTCAGGCCAGCCTTCACTGTAGGTGCCTTACCCACTACGCTGTCTTCTCCAGCCAATACAAGTGTTTTTTTTTTTTTAAAAATAATGCAAATATGTATGCACAGAGTATTTTCTGTTTTTGTTTTGTTTTGTTTTTTGAAGACAGGGTTTCTTTGTGTAGCCCTGGCTGTCCTGGAACTCACTCTGTAGCCCAGGCTGGCCTCTGACTCATGAAGATCCACCTGCCTCTGCCTCCTGAGCGCTGGGATTAAAAGTACCACCTGGCTTTGCCTCTCTGTTTTTAAAAAGTAGATACCGAGGTAGACAGTGCTGCAAGAGTATCCAGTCTGTGACAGAGATTCACCGCCAGGCGCCGATCAGCAGGCTGTGGGAGGAAGAAGCCCACACCTGCTCTTCTGGAGCTCAGGAAGATGCAGGGGAATCAGAGTCGGAGGTCACATAGCAAAGCAAGACACTGTTTGTTTTGTTAATTTTTCTGTTTTGTTTTTGAGACAGGGTTTCTCTGAGTAGCCCTGGTTGTCCTGAAATTCATTCTGTAGTCCAGGCTGGCCCTGGACAGAGAACTGTTTGCCTCTGCCTCGCGAGTGCTGGGATTAATGGCGTGCACCAGCACCGCCTGGCACAAGACATGATCTTAAACTAAACTTTGAATATTGAGGTTATTTGTAATCCCCAATGACTTGTTAGCTGTTCTCATTTTGAATGGCAGTCCTTTGGTGGACAGACTCCGTGAACATGACGGTGGCTCCAGGCTGAGGGTCCTGCTGTGTCCTGAAGTGTTCCAACTGGAGGCAGAGCCAGTGAAGGTGCGAGGCCCAGGAAAGCCTCCGAGAGCCAGAAAGATCCTCTCAGCACACTTGTAGCATCCCTGTG